GGTGGTGTGTTAGTGTGTGTTGTGCTGGTGTGAGTGGATCAGACACAGCAGTGCTGCTGGAGTTTTTAAACATTGTGTCCACTCACTGTCCACTCTATTAGACACTCCTACCTTGTCAGTCCACCTTGTAGATGTAAAGTCAGAGACGATAGCTCATCTGCTGCTGCACAGTTTGTGATGGTTATCCTCTAGTCCTTCATCAGTGGTCACAGGACGCTGCCCACAGGACGCTGTTGGCTGGATATTTTTGTTTGGTGGACTGTTCTTAGTCCAGCAGTGACAATGAGGTGTTTAAAAACTCCAGCAGCACTGCTGTGTCTGATCCACTCAGACCAGCGCAACACACACTAACACACCACCACAACGTCAGTGTTACTGCAGTGCTGAGAATGATCCACCACCCAAATAGTACCTGCTCTGTGAGGGTCCATGGGGGTCCTGACCACTGAAGAACAGGGTAAAAGGGGGCTAACAAAGTATCAGAGAAACAGATGGACTACAGTCTGTAACTGTAGAACTACAAAGTGCACCTATATAGTAAGTGGAGCTGATAAAATGGACAATGAGCGTAGAAACAAGGAGGTGGTCAGAATGTTATGCCTGATCGGTGTATGTATACTATGTATACAGCACATTAAATTATATATTGTATTTTAATTACCAAATACAAGCGCAATGTTATAACAGACATTTTCGTCCATAGTAAAAAGGTTCTAAACCTTGTAACATTAATAGAACCGTTTTTGGTGCTTTTGTGTTAAGCCATTTTATGAAAAGTGTTCTTTAAAGAACCTTATCTCACTTCATAGAGAGGTTCTTTTAGTAGTCCCGGTCGTCATTATTGTGCTTCACACTGTGATATCAACCAATCAGGAAACCACAAATTAACATTACTGACTACTGGAACCAACAGAAAAATGATTTCTATGATTGTTTTCAGCAGGGAGAGCATTCAGGTCAGGCTGTATTGCAAACTACATTCTTAAAAAAGATTCTTTAAGGGTTCCTAAGTAAAGGCAATGGTTCTATTTGTATAGAAATGGTTCTTTAGATTGATGGAGAACGTGTTGTATATTTTAAAAATGGTTCTACGTAGCACCAACAACGGTTCTGCTATTGGGCCTCTGTCAAGCTTGTAACAATAAAAGAACCCTTTTTGGTGCTATACAGAACGCTTTTCAAAAAGGTTCTATTTACAACCATATACAACACATTCTCCACGAATCCAAAGAGCTATTTCGCCATGCAAAGAACCATTTAAGCATGAAATGGTTCTATGTAGAGCTCATAGTTCTAATTAGTCAGTCTTTATTAATGAAGCTTTGAAGAACCATCGTTTTATGTGTAGAACAAATTTGCAAACAACATCAGAGACGTTTAAACGTATTAATATTAGAGTTAAATAATCATAAAATTAGAATAAAAATCACATCTTTTATCCTCTCTGTAGACTATGGCTTTACCGTTGACCAGATTCGCTGATCTCCAAATCATACGTTGTGTCCAATTTCAGCTGTTTTGAGTTGAAGATCGCAGGATCTGCACAAACTCTCCACAACCCGAAGGTCCTGCGTTCGTTTTACCAGATTTACATTCGTTCTGTGACTCTAATGTAATTTCTTGTTTAATTCTACAAGCTGTGACCAAAAAAGAGAATTTTTAAAGAATTGATTCGATATTTTCAACAAACTCAACTTACTCGCTACCGCCCCTTTATCTCTGCAAATGAAAACACGTTCCAGGAGTATGTCGCCCTCAAGCGGTTGGGAGTTGAAGGTGCACCTTTTTAAACTTTTTATCACGTTAAACAGAATATTATAGCTGTATTCCGATTCATACATTTCTGCAAAATTAACTCACTAAAATTAATCATTCAGAATGAATCATAACAATCATTCAGGGTGGTCTGATGTGAAATGTCTATGCTGGGTGGCTAGCTAAAAAAGCTGAGACCACCACGTATTTCATGATGGTCTTTACTGTGTTTTTTTCAGCAGGGTAGTCAACAAAAACAAGTTATTTTATATATAAAAACTCAGAAGACTCTATAGGTTCACTGGTGGTTTTGGATAGTAAATAAAATGTCTATATTTGTGTTGTAGTCATGGCGACCCCTGGTTCCTATCACCACCCCTGTGAAGAAATCTGAAAGTCAGAAAGTTTCTCTTTAATGAACCATTTCATATCAAACTACTATAAATGACCTATATCTCAGCGAGTGAATTATGCATATATATATATATATATATATATATGGAACTGAGAAAAAACATCAACCACACACCAGAAATGCTTTGTGAAGCAATTTTAATAAATAATAAAATATATTTCTTTTCTGAAACATAGGATATGGTTTCCATATTTGGCATAGAGACAGTGTTTAGCATGGATTCAGTGTTAAAGACTATACATTAGTTTAGACGCTTCATGTGTGATTGTGTCCAAAGTCTTAGTGCATAAAAAGGCAGGCGTTTTCAGGTTTTCAGTCCATACATTTGTGCTCAGAGTGCGTTTGAATACTCAGTCAATGGCACCAAATGCACAAACGTAGTACAACTTTGAAAGATATAGCCAAAGCAGATTTAATAAACTGAAAAAAGCTCCTTCTGAGACTTTCCTGTGGCCCCCAGTTTGAGAACCGCTGTTCTACATGTTCCCAGGAGCGACAGTAGTTGTTTACTTTTTTAAATTTATTAATCCTGAAAAGGTATTTTATAAACACTTTGTTATGAAACTCAACATTCATGCAGTGGTAAGATTGAAAACGTAGCACTTAAGACTTCACTCTTAAAAAAAGCTGGTGCTTTAAGGGTTCTTTAGTACAGACAATGGTTCTGTATAGAACCATGAACACTCAAAGAACCCTTTGCATGTTTAAAGGGTTCTTTGCATTTGACTGAAAAATGTGCTGTAGATGGTTCTATACAGCACCCAAAAGGGTTCTTCTATTGTTAAGATGTCAAGCTTGTGACAATAGAAGAACACTTTTGGGTTCTACATAGAACCCTTTTCAAAAAGGTTATATACAGAACCATCTATAGCCCATTCATGCAAATTTTTGACTCAGTCTGAAGAGCCTTTCCATGATGCAAAGAACCAATTAATCACGCAAAAAATTCTTTTCTATATAGAAACATTTTCTTTACTAAAGAACCACTGAAGCACATCTTTTTTTAAGAGTGCTGGGAACAAAAATCACACATTTTTGGTCATAATGGCACTTTGGAAATAAACTTTGAGTGATAAAAACATCAACATTCATGGGCAACGCTGCCCCGTTTATCATGTAACTGAACTGAAATGTACTGCAAGTCAGTGTTCTTCACTCTCAGTCCTGAAGGGTGGCTGCATTGCTGTGTGCTTTCTGTGATCCAGCACATCTCAATCAATAGCTGATGGCAACTATATACTATATTTAGCTAACGAGCTGAATTAGGTGTGTTAGGGTGGGGAAAAAGCACTAAAATGCAGTTTCGTGCTGGTTTAGAACTGCAAGTGAAGAACACCGGCCCTTTAAGGGTACATAGGGCCGGTTTACCTTCGGTTTCAAATCCAGCTGAAATGAAGTGAGTGATATATCATTGCACATGTAGCCTACAATAAATCATCTACTAATGTAAATATCTCTGCTGATTTCATGTTTCATGTGCTCAAGACTTTCAGGCTACATTACTAAATAGAGCAGAACAACTAAAAAACAAAGTGTCCATCATAGCAGTTGAAACGAATCGCTGAGTGTGTTTACATGCACTTAATAATCCGATCATAATGAGATTTCTGCAGTTATCTGATTATTCAAATGGCTGTGTAAACAGCATACTCTGATTTGTTAGATCAGAGTAAGGTCAAGAAATCTGATTAAGAAATCTGATAAAGAGGCTGGATTTTAACTCAGTAATTAGATTTCTCAGGGCGTGTGAACTCTTACTCTGATTTCTTTCGCATTTCTCAGTCTGCACATGTGTGAAAACAGACCGCGGTACCTGAAATAAGTGAGCAGCGAAAACACCTTTGGAGCGACACTGAAACCAACTACATGATTGACGAAATGAAGGATTTCAATATTTTTCATCTTCTAGATGATGTATGTTTAAGTTTTACATTATGTTTGCGTCATGTCTTCTTCTGTGAGTTTATTGGCTGGATGCAAAGCAGAAGTCCCATTACTGTCTGACTCATGTAGACCCGGAGGTTCTCCGTTATCTGATTACTCAAGTGCATTGATCGAATTACTGACAAAATCTGATTTTCTGCAGCTATCAGATTATTAAGTGCATGTAAACACACTCACTTATGTATTAACGCATTGCAGAACCCAAGCTGAAAAAACATTCATGCAGGTTTCTGTTTTGGCCGACTACCTATTTTGGCCTCAACTGACAGACACTGTGAGGGAGTCCATGAGATCAGGTCTCTAAATTGCACTTATCATGTACACTGAGAGAGGAAAAACAAAAAAATAATAATGCAAGGCACTAAAATGGCCACACAGAAGAATGAAATGAATTCTCCTCACCAATCAGATTTAAACCCAACCTAACGCTGGGCTTCCAGGCAGAGATTACGCTGAGGTCCACCTTCAGCAGAACGTCCACAGTCTGACTATCGTACTGAATAATCTGTGCCCAGAAACCCACACACTTAAAAAAGAGGGTTCTTCGAGGGTTTTTTAGGAAAAAGAAAAAAGTTCTATATAGAACCACGAACACAAAGAACTCTTTGCATAATTAGAGGGTTTTTTGCATCATGAAAGTGTTTTTCACACTGACAAATGGGCGGTAGATGGTTCTTTGTAGCACTCAAAAAGGTTATTCTATTGATGGAGAATGTGTTTTATATGGTTCTATACAGAACCTTTTTGAAAAGGGTTCTAGATAGCACCAAAAAGGTTTCTCCTACTGTTACAGGCTTGACATCATAATAATTGTTCTGTATAGAACCATCTACAGCACATTCTGCATCAACCTGAAGAACCATTTAATGATGCAAGGAACCCTTAAATCATGCACAGAGTTCTTTGAGCGTTCATGGTTCTATATAGAACCACTGTCTTTGCTAAAGAACTCCTGAAGAGCCATCATTTTTAAGAGTGCAGCCTATTATTTTCATAAAGCAATCTGAACTCCTAAACCAACATATTCCTTATTATTTTATCTTATTTTTAACGCTGATAAAAAGATGACAGACACACATGCATATAGACCCCGTGTCCAGTCCCAGGTCCGTCCGTTATAGTATGATGCCAGAATGTATGAAATGGTATGTGAAACAGGCTGATTTACAGAAGCCATTAGCAAGTGCAGATTACTCAGCACATGGAAAACCACAACCTCCGCCAGAGAGACGGTCTATAATGCTCTGGGTGTTGTGCAAAACTGCAAGTACCACCAGCTCAACATGTGGCAATGGCTTCAGGAAATCAGTATGACATAATATTGCATGTCAATCATCCGTCGTTGTGGGGTGACTATTACTAGAGCATCGTAACACAACATGTTTTTCACTATTAAAGGAATACTGCAGCGTTTTCAACCTGCATTTGTAACACACATTTATGTCAATGCTGGGTGACCAACTGAACCAGCATTAACAGACCAGCATGGAAATTCTGCAGGTCTGCACTACCAGCATCAACATTCCATGTAAAACTCAGAAGACACATGCAGGTTCACTGGTGGTTCTGGATAGTAAATAAAATGTCTATATTTGTGTTGTAGTCATGGCGACCCCTGGTTCCTATCACTACCTCTGTAAAGAAATCTGAGTCTCTACAATCAACCATTTCACAAAAAAACCACTCTGAAGGACCTGCATAACAACAACTGAATTGTTGTGCAGCCTGCATTTGTAGTAACTGAGTAAAATAACAGAAAAAACACTAAATGCATGTATAATAGAAGCCAATGCTTCAGGACCTGCCCCCCAGTGGCTTCCACTGTAAGTATATTCAGCATCTGCCCATTGGCTTCTATTATAAAAGCATACAAGTCAACAAGTACAGGAAAACGTGTTGAAACTGTCTGTGGTAATCGACCGCATGCTGCAGAAACAGGCAGAAAAATGCTGCAGTATTCATTTTTGTTAACCAATTAATTTTTTTGTGGAATTGGGGCCTAACTGCAGTGTTTTCCAGACCAACTTATTAAGACATTATTGGCACTTTCTCCTGTCCTATGTACTATCTATCCAAGTGTAGAAGAGGGCAATGGTGCTGGTTGATAACAGACTGAGAGGGCAGCAGGTGGCCACTAGCAGGCGCACTTGCTTTTGTCCTGCGTGGGTGGTTCGACCAGCTCGCTCCCGCTGTGCCCGTTGGAGCGCATGGTGCCGTCGGGGATCCAGGACCGGTCCACACATCTCTCCATCCGCTTCATGATCAGATCCAGCAGGACCTCCACCGCCTGGGCGACATTTTCACCATTTGCTGCGCTCGTCTCAAAGTATGGGATCCTGAGAGGGTCAGAAAAGAGGAGGCGGGGTTTAGTAGAGGTGTAAAAATGTAGAGGTTGGTCATTCAGGTCCAGAAAGTGAGAAAGCCTCAGGGCAAACCAGCAGCAGAGGTGTTCAGGGAGTTGGAACAAAATCCTGGGGAGGATTTTTACTTTCTGGACCAGAACTACCCAACTCCAAACATCACCAGCTCTGTCTGACTAAGATCAGGGATTGATCGATCAATCTATCGATCCAAAGCAACACATCTCAGAGAGAATCTAACCTACGTTAAGAGGGCCAGCATTTAAAGATACTAGCATGCTAGTAGTTATTTCATTCCTGTACCCAAAGTACACTCTTAAAAAAAGATGGCTCCTGAAGGGTTCTTTAGTAAAGAAGACGGTTCTATGTAAAACCAAGAACACTCAAAGAACCCTTTGCATGATTAAAGGGTTCTTTGCATTGTGACACATTTCTTCAGATTGATGGAGAATGTGTTGTAGATGGTTCTATAAAAACCCTTTTTGAAAAGGGTTCTATATAGCCAAAGAACCCTTTTTTAGTATTATATAGAAGCCTTTTTGCTAGGAGTGTAGTAATGATGAAGTTTGCATCTATTTATTTATTTTTTTGGGAGTTTTACTGCCACTATGTACAGAGCTGCTAATGTAACGTGACGTTTATGATGTCAGCGTTCTAATGCCCAAAACCCGTTGGCTGTAGAAAATCGGAATGGTACAGGTATGTTCTCTTTTATTGGCATACATCCTTCTACTTTCTAAAACTGAAGGAAGCTCTCGCACAAATGGAGGGATTTTAGTTTAATTAATATAATATTATTTATTTACTTATTTACATATTATAAAAAACAAAGCATACATTGTAAAACATGTCAAAACTTTGACACATTTTAAGTCTAGTATGTTAGATTTAGCAAACAAAATGAACTTTTCACTTAGAAAATCAGCAAAACTTGGCCTTTCACCAGGGGTGCCAACACTTTTGCACACTGCAGCACAATAACAGCACTTCTTTTTCCCTCTTTTTTCTACAGTGAAGCCCCTGAGCTGCATTCATATTTTTACAGAGGGTAACATGAAGGGAGAGGTGGGAGAGTCATGTTGCATCACAGCTGCAGCGTTTCTCAATGCCTTTCCCAACAGCATGATTTACGGCCTGACTCAGACACCGTCCACACCTCTCCCTCAAATTAACGTGAGTAGATCAAGTGCTGACCGCATTAAGGACACCAAAATTGCTCCCACTTCTCAGACATGATTGTGTACTCTCACACATTCTTTGTTTTCATCTGTAAGAAGTAAAGAAAGGTAGGATTCCTGACCGAGCCAAAGCAAACAGCAAAGATCAACAAAATGATATCATTTCTAATGAGTCATAATCCAGCTAGATATGCGCTGGAACAAAGCTCTGCAGCAAAATAAATCTCCAGGATGACTGACCACTGGTCTACTGTATATTTTATACGTCATTCATGAGCTATTCAGCGTATACACTGCGCTTCAGGGCATTTAGTGCCCATTTAAGGGTTTATGCATGTTAACCAGAACAGCATGTGCTTGAGAACTGAAGTGATATTTTTCTTCACCAACAGTGAACGGAATTTAAAGCATGCAAAATCTACTTTCCAAACACCTGAAATAACATCCCCACGAGATTATGAAAGCTTTTAAAACACACATGCTTCCGTTTGCTAAGCATGTGGCTAAGACAAAGATACCTTACATTAGCTTAGTAAATATTGACCCTGCAGTTGGTCTGCCATCTTGGCATTCTGGCAAGTTTCGAGAGATTAGCAGGTCAGTGCTTAAACAAACACTGCTGCCTCTGCCCTCTAAGCAAACTTCACAGCATGGCAGCACATCTCAGAGGAAATCTAACATGTCTTCAGAGGGCTAGCAGGCCACCATGAAGACGCTAACATGCTAGCAGCAATTTCATTCCAATACCCAAAACAGTACTGATGAAACTTACATGTGGTGATGATCATATTCAGGCTTTCATCTTTGGCTGCTTTATTGTTGCATAAAACAATTTAGATTTATGCAGTCTAACATCTTCAGAGGGCTAGCAGGCCACCGTGAAGACACTAAGTACACTCTTAAAAAATGGTTCTTTAGTAAAGTAAATGTTCCTACATAGAACCATGAACACTTAAATAACGCTTTGCATGATTAAAGGGTTCTTTGCGTCATAAAACGGTTCTTCAGATTGACGGAGAATGTGTTGTAGATGATTGTGTATAGCATGTTCATGGTGGCCTGCTATCCCTCCAAAGTTATGTTAGATCGTCTAAAACAAACTACCAACGAAGGATGGAATATGACGCTAGATAGACAAACTTCATCAATACTACACTCTTAGCAAAAAAGGTTCTATTTAGCCAAAGAACCCTTTTTTGGTACTATGTAGAACACTTTTTGCTAAGCGTGTAGTATTGATGAAGTTTGTCCATCTAGCGTCATATTCCATCCTTCATTGGCTGTTTAATTGTCTAACTCAAGACGGATAGCAGGCCACCATGAAGATGCTAACATGCTTCCATACCAGTACCAGAGATGTTACATAGGAGGAGAAGGGTCACTGGTTGAAAAACGTATGGGAAAGCTCGTAAGTCTCAACATGGCCTCTATTTATGGGGAAAGTCCTGCCCTTCAAGAAAATTTAGCCAGTTAGCTAAATGGCTACGTTGTGAGCAAGAAAAGCCCCCCTCAGTTGTGGAGATCTGCACAAGCGCAGTAGCCAGAACAACATGAAAAACATGTTTTTTGTGTGTTACTGAGCCAAACCATACAAACGTTTTATGAGGTTTTTGTAAGATTGTATCAGTGATTTCAAATATTTTTTGAAACAGGCTGGAAATAACTGCCTGGCAGCGTTGCTAAGATGGCCGCCAAGTGAACAGACTTTCCTATAAGGACGTTGCCTGTACCCAAAGAAGTACTGATGAAGTTTGTCTATCTGGTGTCATAACCCAGCTTTTTTTTTAATTGTTGCATAAAACAGTTTAATTGTGTGACATCTAATATGAATTCAGAGCGGAAGCAGCAACCATGACGATGCTAGCATGATGCATGAAGTTTATCTATCTGGTGTCGTATTCTAGCTCTCGTCTTTGGCTGTTTAATTGTTGGTAAAACCACTGAATTACTAAGCTTTAGCTTACTACAGGCATTAGATCACTTTTCTGGGTGCACAATAAGTCCAGTCTAAACATGCTTTTAAGATTAGGCTTATAGGAATTATTTAATACAACACTGAAGTGGCACAGGCTGAAAACTAGCAGGACCTGTTAGCCCAATCCCATTAGCAAAATCCTAACTGGACCATAACAGCTTAGCATTTTCTGATGATGAGTTTTATCCAGAATTGGTCCTCACCCATATTTCTCGGCTAGCTCTCGAGCCTCATCCTCGCTGACTGCTCGCTGGTCTTCCAGATCGCACTTGTTTCCGCACAGGACGATGTCGGGGTTCTCACAGTATGCGTGCATCTGCAGCTGACCTGCACAGGAACAACACAGACAAAAAGTTCTTCTTCTTCACAGTACTGGGTGGAACTCAGGGGTATTTACATATGTGAACTGACCAACTGACCAAGACCTGATTGAGTGAAGAAGCCCTCAAATGCTTTCATTCACAGCAACTACGGTGAGCTCTACAGAACACTGGCAGAAACATGGAGTTAGACTGAAGCCAAAATGTATTGTGTATTTGTGATCTGTGATTTGAAGGCAAACATCAGCTTTTCAATGTTTAGGTATTAATGTGCAAATATAAAAGTGAGTTATGCAATTAATTTTGGGTTCTTAGTGCATCAGTTCCATTTTCAGATATTGCAAATGTGCATTCTGCCTACATTTCATACTTTTCATTCATTCAGGTCAATTTGTACATGTTTGTGCTTCAGTTTGCTCAGGCTGCAAACTTTTGGCTATATTGCTGCAATGCTACCATCACAATCATACAGTGTGCCATGAAATCTGTACCATATGTAAAGACTGAATCATAGGTGTGTTATTGTTTATAAACATAAAAGCAAAAGGCAGATCTGAACTTCATCCATGATCTCTGTAATACATTTATAAGTCTGTGTCTCGTTTTCTTACATGTAAACTTTTGACAGTACCATTGCACCTCTCTCAGAAACGTAACTGTACGGCCCAGAGAAGTGCGTGAATCTTTGGTCACTTCCAGGTCATGACTGCATAACACTCTTTACTCCTTGTTCTAGCAGAGAATTTGTATTTGTATTGTATACCATTCACTGCCACTTCACCATGCCTTCTGGGTTGGTCAGAAGCTAGAGGGCGCTCTTGAGCGAGTGCTAAATTAATGGGATCATTTGAAGGCTGTGTCCAAAATTGTAATTTATAAATGATTATTAACTTTTTTGCCGTTTTGCCCCATTCACCTTCACTCAATAAGGACCCACTCTGGCGCTCTCTTGCGTTTTTCAGTCATTCTTTTAATATAAAAATCAAAACCCACAAACAGTCAAACAGTGAAGGCAGGGTCTTTTATTGTGCATAGTGTCAAGCAATCACAACTCGGAAGTAACCACAGTTGCCAGTTTCACACACTACTCTGGGCCGTGCAATTACAATTCTGAGAGAGGTGCAACAACACTGTCAAAAGTCTGCACGTACAGAACTTCTGCAAGTTAATCCGAATCAACGTATCACAAAGATTATGGGTACAGTTCAGATCTGCCTGTTTACGTTCATGTTCACAAACTTGTAACACATCTGCAATTCAGACTTTACAAGTAAGGTACAGATTTCATGGTAAACTGCACGATTGTGATTCTGATAGCACTGCAACAATACATATAAGTTTACAGACTGAGCAACCTGAACCGCAGACATGTATGCTTTATCAGAATGAATGAAAAGTATGAAATGTTGGCAAAAAATCTGAAAATGGAACTGATGCACTAAGACCCAAAAACTACTCGCGTAACTCATTTTTATTATTGCACTTTACATATAATATAATATAATATAATATAAATTTACATTCAAAAGCTGATGCACACCTTCGAATCAGTTCACAAATACGATATGTTTTGGCTTAAATCTAACTCCATACAAAAAGCCCATTTGATCTAATGAGACAACTTAGATTGTGTCAAAAGACATGAACTAGGCAGGATAGAAAAGATAAAATAGAATTTACCAACACTGGGCCTCATTCACCAACCGTTCTTAAGAAGAAATTTCTTCTTAAACCCCACTTACTCAGTTTTCACAAAGATTCTGACATTGACCAGTGTTTTCTTCTTTGGGATTTGTTCTTAGAATCATCTAACCTGTAATCTGGAACATATTTATCAATATCCTATCACCTGTGTACCCTGCACCTTATTTATCTACCTCAGACTCACAAACTGCATATATGAAAATGTGTAAAACTGTACATATTACAGCTTTTATTTCTTATATTACTGTATAAAAACTGTACATTGGGTATGGTGCAATACTGGGTATGATCATTTGTATACACATCATGAGGTGAAACAGTTCCGTGGTTTAAAAACACGTCATGAATCTGGCATAGACTTTTTCTCAGGATCCTTCTCAAGAACAAATTTAAGAAAAAACTTAGAAAGATATTTGTGAATGAGGCCCAGTGGCTTGATTACAGAAGAAACAACTATACACAGTCTATCCTAACAGTTTGCCCTTTGACACTGTGAATGTAGTTACTTTGACCAAGTTTTTGAATTGTATGCTGCAGTTTCTCATTAGCTTGAAGGGTTTTTTGCAAATGTTGTCAGACGGTTCACAGTTGCAACAGCAACAAACGTAATTGTGGGATTAGTCAGCTGAGCAGAAACTCAACAGGAGCCGCTAGAAGAACTAGCGGTACAAATTTGTGTGAATGTTTATGTCTGTGAGGATCTGGTGAAGAAGTAGACACTCACTCATCCAGTTCCTGACGTTGAGGAAGCTCTGTTCATTAGTCAGATCAAATAGCAGCAGGAAACCCATAGCATCTCTGAAGAACGCTGTTGTCAAACTCCTGAACCTGTAACGGCATTCAAAGCAAAGAACATCAGTTCCATGTGCTAAACATGCTGCTAATGACAGTGTTATATGTTTACATTTACACTGTAAAGTTACATAGTTTTTGTACGGTTTACATAGTGTTTGTGTTTAAAGTGTCCAGAAAAAAAGCCAAATGACCATCTTAGCATCTCGACTGGTTGGTGTTTGTAGGCAAATAATGTTTATTTATTGCAATAAGTAACCATAATGGTAACTCTGCAGGACAGCAGATCTCCACATGCAGTGTGGGACGCTACTTAGTTTAAGCACCCCTGTTCTCACCTCTCTTGGCCTGCTGTGTCCCATAGCTGAAGGTGTATCCTCTGGCCCCTCCCAGCTGTACCATCGGACCCGCTGGACTTGTACACCTTAAAGAAACCATTTACTGTAAGCTGTGAACTACACGCCAGCAGCAGAGTCAGCCATCTGCTTAGGTTGTTGTAAAATTTTTATGTGACTAACAATTAAAGGGAAATTTCCACATAATTCAATTATTGAGAAGTCATTCAGAGTGGATCTAAATAAAATGATGAACTGTAGGCAAATTTACTGACTGATTTCCTTACAGCGGTGGTGATAAGAGCCAGAGGTAGCAAGTTTTATATGTAATGTTGATGGTAAAATAGTGATCACTCTGAAAAATAATCAGGCAGTGAATTCATAACCACTTAATGTAGTAACTTCCTGTGAGGGAGATTTTAGAGGGGGACGTCTGGTTCCTATCACCACCACTGTGAACAGTTCTGACTCGGTTAGTCTTTAAAATTAAGAATTTCACACCACACCACTCAAAATGACTCTTTACCGTTTAATAATGTAAAAATAAAAAAGTAAATTAAAGAAGTTATTTTAATGAAAACTAGCAGCCAATCAGAATAATCTACTTTGCATATTCCATAATTACAACATGTACATACATACATACACACAAACACATATATCTTCCCATTTACTTACATTACAGAAAGCAGTAAGATTTTCTTTTTAGAAAAGAAATAAGAAGCTTTCTCTTCTATAAAGTTACCATCACATTTTTTTTTATAAGGGCAACATGTCGCTGTACAAATTTATTGCATCCACACTACCCCAACCACCCGGCAGACAACATTATCTGACCAAGATGTGGGAGAATGTTGACCGGTTGACTGATAATGATCCATTACATGTGGGCTGCAGTGATTGGGGTCCATATCTTGATTGAATCGAGGCATTTCTGAAAAGCAGTTTTCAAACGTGCCTCAAACGTAAAGCATTAACTCAGTCTCGCTCTGGGTTTTAATGACTTCTGCCTGTGTTTGCTTTGTAGGAACAGTTTGTTTATTCTTTAGGAGGGAGCTCCACTCTCAGATGAACTGCTCACGCAGGGTGGGAGCAGGCCCGATTTTTTTTTCCATTTTCTTTACTGTTGCAATGAAACATTGACTGCAGAAGGCTGAAAATCATGTTTTTTGTCATAAAAGACAGTTTATATATATATATATATATATATATATATATATATATATATATATATATATATATATATATATATACATATATATATATACACACACGTTTAATGGCACGCCTTGGTACATATATACAGTCCATATATGGACACGAAACTGCAAAAACAGCCTGTTTCAATTCACGAAAGCAATGCATTTACATGTATCTATCTATTCAGCCTGCAGCAGTTTATCTCTGCTCGCTTACACTGAAGTTATAAGAAGTGTTTCAGACTACTTTATTTTAATAAGGCACAATGTAGGGGAACCGAAAAGAACAGAGCTAATTTACATATTCTTAAAGGCACAGTAACAAAAACAGACAGTTTAATTCTAAAGGATAAAAAACAGGTTGGAAAATGCTCATGTAATCATGAATTATGACTCTTTTGGTACATAAAACCACATAAACTTTAGAAACGGGCATCAAGAAAACAAAATGAAATTCAGGAAAAAGCAGAATATGGGAACTTGCTTGTTCGATGGGAGTATGTGCAAATAGTATGTTTTTATTTTAAAATATTTTAGCTATGCTCTCCCTCAGTGTCCAATAAAATACAGTGTCAAATGGAATTCACTGCACAAAATGAGGCTACTAGAATTCCCTACATAAATAAGTGAGCTGAATTAAAATAAATTCTCTGGAACTGAAAGTGAACTGAAATGAAGTGAACTATACAGGCCTCTCTGGCTGTACCTTCCCCAACCGGAAGCTCCTTGAATTTTAAAGTATGCAGTAAGCAAATTATGTTGCCTTAAGGCTTAAGTTCTTCTACATTCAGAGAATGCACTCCTGCATGACTGAAATCAGCATGTTGCAATCCTGCAAGGCTGCACTAACAATGCAATCTTTGAAATATGGCTTAAAGGGGAATTCCACTGATTTTTAAAAAAGATTATTAATAATTCAACCATTGAGTTGTAAACAGAGAGATTCAGAGTGGTTTGGTGTGAAATGGTTCAGATTACATTACAGTGGTGGTGATAGGAACCAGGGGTCGCCATGACTACAACACAAATATAGACATTTTATTCACTATCCAAAACCACCAGTGAGCCTACACGAGTCTTCTAAGTTTTATGATGGAAAGTTGATGATGGGAAAATAGTCATAAATCTGGAAAAATAAGTTTACTTTGAGGACTATTTCACCCTGCGTGTACCTCTCTGTCATGAATGGGGTTTAAAATGGATTGTTTTAGGTGTAAATCTTATTGTAAAACTAATATAAAACAATATCTCAGTGTATTCTGAACCATTTCATGTAATAACGTCCTCTGAGGGAGCTTTTAGAGGTGGGCGTCTGGTTCCTATCACCACCACTGTGAACAATTTTACCTCAAAGTTTCTCTAGAACGGTGCTTTTCCCACCAAACCACCATTAACCATTTAATTGTGCAGAAATTCAAAAAAATATTGGTGGAATTCCCCTTTAATGCAATTCCAGTCTTCTATTCTCACCATTTCAAAATGATTTCAGCATGATTTATCAGTTTTCTCCCTTCTGTCCAGCTTTTTCCTGATTTTACAGCGGGACTACAGAAGGCTTCCTCCTGCCTTTTTAAGTAAAAAGTACAAAAGACATCTCATGACGTTGACGACAACAAGCTCTTCTGCATGTGTGAATAGAACGAGGGCTTATTTCACACTCCAGCTCCCACGGTTGGTGGAAAAAGAGAGAAAGTAAACAGCCGTTCGAGAAGGGTCTGGGAAAACACCTGGAGTTCATGGTCTGATGGTGCAGTAAAACGTGTTCTAAATGCATGTAGCTGTGAAGGAACACAAACACACAACACTAGAGATCTGCAGAGTGATTCTGAAGTATCAGTACATCCAATCCTACCATTCATTCTAGGAAAATAGTCTCGGAAATATGGGTATCAGGTGCTTTCGTAAAGCAGTAGCCTAAATGTGGACCTTTGTTTTATGAAATTCAATATGCTTGTTTATTGAAAAAGTGAAAAAAAGGATTGTTACAGCAGATATTTGCATTTATGCTAAATCTAGAGCTTTTGGGTGATGCATGCGCATTTCTAAAGCGACACAGAGAGAAAAAACACTTCTTTAGCTTTAATTGATCAGACAAAATGTGTAAGATGTGTCGAATATAACCGATCAACACTCGGTTTGGTCAAAATCAGGACCACGTATCATGTTTAACCACTCAAACACTGGGCCTCGTTCACCAAATACCTTCCTAAGTTTTTTCTTAAATATGTTTTTGAGAAAGGTCCTGCGAAAAAGTGTACGTCAGATTGATGACGTGTTCTTAAGGCACAGAACTATTCACACCTTTGTGCTTTGTACTCCCCCACCCCCTCTTTTTTTCAGGAAACAGTTAATGGGCGTTTGGGCTTGAAGGCGGGGGGGCATGGGGGTTGTTGGGTTTGTGTTGCTTTTTGTTTTAAGTGATTTAAAAATATTTCAAATGCCACACAGACACTCACCACCCGCTTTTCTCTGAAGTCTATGCCCACTGTGGTGATGAATTTGGAGTTGAACTTGCCGTCCGTGTACTGGTACAGGAAGCTGGTCTTGCCCACCCCAGAGTCCCCCAGGGCTAGGAACTTGATGAGGTAATCATATTCCCCATCAGACATAGTGAGGGCTGCTTACTGACCTGAGAAACACAAACACACACACAGACACTTAATCCAAGCACTGCATATCATTCAAATATACTGTCCTTTACACAGTGTGAAAATTTGATAATGAATGGTTGAACAGAAATGCGCCAAAATAACCTGGAGTCAAATCCATTTACATTAACTTACATTAAAAGTTAAGAACATTTTTGTCTTCACCTGTAAAGTTACCATTTTGGAGATGCCTATTGTTTTTTGGACAGAGGTGATACATTACTGTTTAAATGTTTATATATCGCTGCTGTCGGAACAAAACCTTGTATCTCCAAAATGACAACTTTATTGGAGAATATCCAGTAATAATATATACAATGTACATTAAAATATTATAAAATACATTTGGTGTTTGGTTGAAGCTATTTCAGGAAAAATAAGAAGAAGTATTAAATATCAGGATGCACTGTGATATCGGATTTGTATCAGTATTGCTTAAAATCAGTCTGCTTAGATCTGACCGATATTTCAAAGCAATATCAGATGACAAATTTATTGTACTCTGTAAGAGCAGAATGTTTAGGTGATACTGGACTACTGTGCTAAAATTTCTACATTTTATTGCATCTGTAACCCTACAGAACTTAACACACACCGATCAGGCATAACATTATGACCACCTCCTTGTTTCTACGCTCATTGTCCATTTTATCAGCTCCACTTACTATACAGGTGCACTTTGTAGTTCTACAGTTACAGACTGTAGTCCATCTGTTTCTCTGATACTTTGTTAGCCCCCTTTTACCCTGTTCTTCAGTGCTCAGGACCCCCATGGACCCTCACAGAGCAGCTACTGAGTGATGGATCATTCTCAGCACTGCAGTAACGCTGATGTGGTGGTGTGTTAGTGTGTGTTGTGCTGGTCTGAGTGGATCAGACACAGCAGTGCTGCTGGTATTTTTAAACACTGTGTCCACTCACTGTCCACTCTATTAGACACTCTACCTTGTCAGTCCACCTTGTAGATGTGAAGTCAGAGACGATAGCTCATCTGGTGCTGCACAGTTTGTGTTGGTCATCCTCTAGTCCTTCATCAGTGGTCACAGGATGCTGCCCACAGGATGCTGTTGGCTGGATATTTTTGGTTGGTGGACTATTCTCAGTCCAGCAGTGACAATGAGGTGTTTAAAAACTCCAGCAGCACTGCTGTGTCTGATCCACTCAGACCAGCACAACACACACTAACACACCACCAGCACGTCAGTGTTACTGCAGTGCTGAGAATGATCCACCACCCAAATAGTACCTGCTCTGTGAGGGTCCATGGGGGTCCTGACCACTGAAGAACAGGGTAAAAGGGGGCTAACAAAGTATCAGAGAAACAGATGGACTACAGTCTGTAACTGTAGAACTACAAAGTGCACCTATATAGTAAGTGGAGCTGATAAAATGGACAATGAGCGTAGAAACAAGGAGGTGCTCATAATGTTATGCCTGATCGGTGTATGTACCCATAATTCCCATATCGATGCATCCCTAATAAGAATATACCATAATGCTCTGTTTAAAAAATGCTTCGAGATGACACATCAAAAATGGACACCCTGATGTTTCTTACTGTACAAGAAAGCAGCAGCATTTAAAATAGGAATGACCATCATGCAAACTACTCACTGACTCACTGAGAAGGTAAATGTTAACTGATTATGTTGTAATTGAGTTCAATCAACAATCTCACAGCTCCAGAAAGAATAGGGAAGTTTCCTTCTTCTCTGGTCAGTCTGTAGGTGCAGACATGTTAACAGGAAACCCAGAAATACTCCACAGAAAGAATTTCAGCCATTTGCAAAATGCCATGGCCGTTAATGAGAAGCACGAGGCTCTTACACAAGCCAATTTAAACCATCTTCAATCACACAGGAATTGTGAAGTTATATATGAGCTGCTTTCACTGCCCTGCTGAACATTAGCAGGAGAAGCTCAGGAATGAGGAAATGGGTGGACAAACAGGCCTCCTGCATTTGTGTGCAGCCACGCCTCAAAAATATAGGGTAGTTTTTCACACAGCTTCTGAAATTCTATCCGAGATGCTCTTGGGTTTTCACCTACTATACCATCTGAGGCGGTTGCGTCACTGGGGCTGTAATGCCCAGGGGAGGAAACCTGGGCTGGAGCCTGTGAGGCTCTTGCTCAAGCAAAGCTCAGCAATGAGTGCATGTACTCAAGCCAACTAGCCAGCAGCTGTAATAGTTCTTTGGCTATGAACGCAACACTGAACTCCAACAACTCCTGAGGACACTCAGCTACATGTAAAGAGGCTGGGAATACTAGCAGGCCTGCAGACCAAAAACACCTGGTTCAGTATTATCTGGATCATTTGAAGCACACTCAGTAGTTACCTAGCTAGCTAGGTACACTGGGTTGCCAATTTATTAAGCACGCTCCCCACTTTTCCACATAAATCACATCACATCACATGACTGGGCATAAATCAGTCAGACCAGTTTTTACACGATTAAAAATGATGTTTCTATATAGAACCATGAACATTCAAAGAACCCTTTCCACGATTCCATGATTAAAGTGTTTTTTTTACCTTTTCTTGAAAAAGGTTCTATATAGCAACAGTGAACGGTCCTTCTACTGTTATGATCTCAGGCTTGTTACAATATAAGAACAATTTTGGTGCTATACAGAACCCTTGTCAAAGAGGTTCTATATAGAACCATATACAACACATTCTCCATCAATCTGAAGAACACTTTCACGATGCAAAGAACCCTTTAATTATAAAAAGGGTTGTTTCAGTGTTCATGGTTCTAAATAGAACCATTTTCATTACTAAAGAACACTTTAGTAAAGAAGGTTTGTAGCATTCAGCGTTTAGTAGGGGGATGAACTGTTTTGCTTTGCCTGTTAAATTTGACCAAGAAATATATGACTAAAATAAAACATAATAATAAATGTAAGAATACATAAATATTATTATATTTTATAGAAATTAGAAATCAGAGTTGGCCCACAGTTCCCATATTGTGCATCCCTATTAAAATACCCGTGTAATGATCTATTTTAAACAATTGCTTTAAGAAGCCCAAGGAAGCCTCCATAAAAATATAATAAAATATAACATAAAATACTATATAACACTATGTGGCTAAAAAATACTTATGAGTTTTGTCCACCAGGCTCTGTTTCTTACTGTAGCAGTAGAATTTAAAACATACATCATGCAAAGTAGTTTAATTAAGTAGTTTGGTGTTTGGGGTGTTCTCTTCAAAGTTTGGACAGAGATGAAATGCCCACCCCTCCCACCCCTCCCACCCCGTTCACATGCTCTTATAATCTTTTCTTTCTGGACTATGTGCAGTTTTTGATGGCACACTAACCAGAAAGAGCTCTCATTACAGCTTGTTACAACTTGTGCCCACTCGCTCAAAACACCTGTGAACGTGGTGTGAAAGGGACGGGGTGGGTTTAATGCCAACAACCCACAGGTCTTACCACACACTTGGCACTGCCTTTACCCAAAGCCTACAACAAACCTTTCCACACAGTGAAATCATTATTCACTGACACCTACAGTATTGTGGTCAGTCTCAGAGGGTCTGCCTTTACATACACAGAGCATCTGGTATCTACTGTACATTAAACAGCTATTGGGAATGGGGCATACTGATTGGCTATCTGCACTTCTGTATTCATTTCAGGGGTGGGGGTAAGGCACACCTAACACCATGATACTTCAAAATATTTTCACGATACATGCAGTTAAGTGTTTTTAGTTGGAACAGACAAAATCTATCAAAAATTAGTATCAAAAACAATGAACACAGTGATTTTTATTTCACACTAGCCTCGCTATATCATGTGCCATATGTCATCTGGTCGTGCCCTCTAGCCTTCACTGATTGACAGCACTACCACGGGATGCGGGAGTGCGAGGTAGGCAAAAAAAAAAAAGAATCCTTTCTCCAGGACGGCAGGTTATGTGGTAACACAAGATTATCTCCAGTGTCTGCTTAACCCAGAGAACATAAACGTGCTTTCTAGAAACGTATAAGCTAACTGTCTTCGGTACGGTTTGGCAGTTCTCAGAGTGGTTTGGTGGTTCTCTTTGTTTTGGTTGTTCTCTGTGTTATTTGGTAATTCTCTGTGTGATCTGGTTTTCTGTATGGTTTGGTCATTTTTGGTGAGTTTTGGAAGTTCTCTGCATGGTGTGAACTTATAGGTCTTAGTGTGGTTTGGTTGTTCTCTGTGTGGTCTGGTAGTTTTTAGTGTGGTTTGGCAGCTCTGTATGGTTTGGTAGTTCTTAGTGTGAACTAGTAGTTTTTGGTGTGGTTTAGTAGTGTTTGAAATGGTTTGGTAGTTCTTGGTGTGGTTTGATAGTTTTTGCTATGGTGTAGTAGTTCTTGGTGTGGTTTGGTAGTTTTTGGAATGGTTTGGTGGTTTTTGGTGTGGTTTGATAGTTTCTGGTGTGGTTTGATAGTTTTTGGAATGGTTTAGTAGTTCTTGGTGTGGTTTGGTAGTTCTTGGTATGTTTGGAAGACCTCAGTGCGGTTTGTTAGTTTTTGGAATGGTTTGACAGTTTTTGGTGTTATAGGTTTAGGTGTGGTTTGGTAGTTTTTGGTGCGATTCGGTAGTTCTCAAAATGGTTTGATAGTTCTGGCTGTGGTTTGGTAGTTTTTGGTATAGCTTAGTAGTTGTCAATATGGGTTCATAGTCCTTGGTCTGATTTGATAGTTTTAGGTGTGATTTGGTGGGTCTCAATATTGTTAGATAGTTCTGGTGTGGTTTGGCAGTTCTCTGTATGGTTTGGTGGTTTTAGGTATGGTTTGGGAGTTCTTGGTGTGGTTTGGTGGGTTTTGGTGTGATGTGGTTAGTTTTTGCTGTAGGTTCTGTAAATAGTGTTTCCAGCCTATGAATGACTTCTTGTTAAAATAATAATACGGCTAAAGCTTAACCACATTAAGTAGCTACTCCTACTGTAGCTATGCATTGTCCTGTTTGTTTTTAATAACCTTTGTACTCATAATGTAAA